GGAATCCCTGCTCCAGGAGACACAGGCAGCAGGAGGGCTCCCGGCGTGGCTTGGCACGTTGCACCCAACACCTTCTCCTCAGGTGACACCTTCTCTTTTCCCCCCGCCCCAGAGGCAGTTCCTCCAAGAGGGATTTGCTTATCCCTAGAAAGCATTTACCCTTGCCAGGGGCAAGACAGTGAATTTTGCAAGCCCTGGATGCCTGAAGCTCTGCCTTTCTCCAGCACAGCAGATAAACACAGCACTCCAGCCTGCTTCTGTCTCCCTCCTTCCTTCTCTTCCCTGCTCCTCTTCTTTCTCCTTTAGACCAGGCAGGAAGTCAGTGCAAGTCCCATGAAAGTCTTTGGGCCATATGATGTAAATACAGGTGTAAGCCACGTATGTTAGCTCAGTTCTGATCATTTTGGTTGAGATAAAGCCCGTGCACACAGGCCTCGTGGTGTAAAACGGCTACCCTTGCAGTGCAGACTCACTTACTCCGGGTGCTTGATGTCAGTGTGACAACTGCTGCCTTCCATTGACGGTTGTGGCAGCATCACAGAGTGGGTGTCGGGATTGCTCATCGCTCTCCTGAACTCAGATACCAGAGCAGACGCAACACCTATGCGAGATACCTTGAGTGGGTGCGCTGACTACACGTTGGCTGTCAACACCTCCTAATTTCTTTCCATTGATTGGTTTTCAAACTCGGCTTCATCATGGAGAGGCTGAGACATCTCTGCTCTTGCACTCTGAGTCTCACTTTCCATTGTAAACACACTTCTCCTCCTTGCTKTTTCACAACTCTCCCCACCCCTCTCCCCCAAATAAAGAAGGAAAAACTAAAGGAAAAGATCTCACCGCTGGCCATCATGCCTCTGGGGATGTGGGTGCTGGAGCATTTGCTGTACCAACACTTAGATGAAGGGAGAGGTTTCGCAGCAAGGACTCGCGTGTTGTGCTGGGGCACATGCTGCCCTGCTCCCTGGTAATAATTGAGGAGATGAGTTCAGCTGGTCRCAGGCTAGGAAGCTGTAGAGAAAGTGTTTTCATAAGAAACGCTGCCCCTGGCCCTTACAAAAYTGCTGGGTGCTGCCGCGGTTTGTCCGAGCGGCTATTGGCATCTGTCACACAGTTGTGACCAGACCTCGTCACAGYTGTAATGCTCTAGCAGACCATCGAGTCACCTCACATAGCCCTGGAATATCTCCCCCACCATGAAGCAACAGCAACACGTATCTCAAACTCTCGTCCCGTGACATCGATGACACTGACACCCCAGCAGGCCTCCAGCGTGGGGCTCCGCACCCACCCCACAGGCCACATAAGGGGAAGATAGAGTTGTCCCCATTGCGGCTGGGAATTCGTGGGATAAATGGCAAGCTAATTGCACAAAAGCAGGAGAATAAAAGGAGCACCCGACTGGCTCAGAGCACAGTAATTTTAAGTGAGTGCAATTCTATTGAACTCAACGCCAGTGAACTCAGTGGAGTGAGACTGGCACAGACTGGATATAAATACCTCACTAGAGAAAAATCTGTCCCTGTCTTAAAAAAAAAAAAAAAGAGAGAGAAAGAATAAGGAAAGGCCACTGAAGGCTGAGTAGCTTAAATATTGTTTTGCTCTATTTGCAGGTGGGGTCATAGGTAGATGATAAGTCAAATTCCAAACATCCTCTTCCTTGTCGTCTAGAGTTTCAATTAGCTTTTTGTTTCTGATGCTGAGCTTCTAAAAATTGCCCGGCATCATCCATATGAAAATAAATAACACTATTTCTATCCCAGCTCACATGTAATGCARCCGGATATTAAGTAAATACATGGCCCCAAAAAGCAGAGCCTGCAGCAGCTTTTGTCACTACCAAGCAATAAATTTGCAGCACTCCCTGTTAGCTTAATGCTGAGTCCGTCTCCTCTCTGATGATGATAWATCTCCCTGCTGAGGAGTTTAATCAACCCTCCCACATGCAGGCTGTTCTGGCCTGGCAAGGCAGTCGCTACAGTGTGAGGGACCCTCTCCACAGTCCGAACGGGGTGGCATGGAGGCGGTGGAGCTACGCCAGTTAATTCCGGGGCAGAGATCCTCGAAAGTCGCTTGAACCTTCATTTACCCCTTGTGAACTTTTAACGTTTAATGAGTCATGCACACTAGGGAYGTAGTTGCCCTCAGCTCCCTCTAAACCTAACACAGAGAAGGAAGGACTTCCAGAAATGGGTTTGGCCATCCCGAATCATCAGCTTTCTTCACGATGACTGCAGAGGAGCCGAGAGCAACATTGCTTAGCCCTTGGCAGATTCCATCTGGAGCAAGATGAGTTGGATCTAGGCCTTTTTAAAGCTGGTTTTTATAGCCTCCTAGGGATTTCAGGAGGAATTTCAGCTTTCAGGTAGACTTAGCAGAGCAGCTCCACCCTTCTGAAGAATCGGAGCTGCGTTGTTGTCACGCGCAATGGCTGCTATGCTGCTGGCAGGTCAGGTGGAGAATGAAGAGAATTCTAAGACCATCTGGAGGTATTTGGGGTGGGACAGGACTAGCACAGCTGGAGTGTCTAAGGTGAAGTCCTGCTAAGGTCTCCGGTACTCTATGGCAGGGGGAGCAGAGCTAAGGTAATGTTGCATTACTGCTTCCTCCCACTGGAGCTCTGACACCGTGACGTAGACGCTTCAGGCTTGGGTCAAGGGACATCCATGACACTCCTTACCACTCTATTTGTGCACATCGAAAGGACAGGGCTCTAATAAACTCTCCAGCAGTGGGAAATCTGCACCTCTCTTCTTCTGGGCCAGAGGGAATTGAGGGTGATATCTACCCAAAAGCATCTTGCCCCACCACCTTGTGTAGTGCCTGCCATTTTGTGCTTGAGTTGCCCATCTCCCTGGTGGGAGGAGCAGAAGACATTGCGAGAGGGAGGGCTATGGAGGGCTTCCCTTTCCGCTTGTGTGCATGTGCTCTGTGACCAGTATCCACATCCCTGAGACAAAAGTCAGGCCCAGGAGGGGTCCTTGACAGCCCTGGGAAGTACTGTGAGATCCCTGCTGCAGAGCGGACATTTAGCAGGCTGTTTGCTGCGCCGTTCTGGCAGCTCCTCCTCGTGCCCGGGCGCTTTGCGCGGTACATATATGCACGCTGGTGCTAGAGTGTGCGTTTAAGAGCACCCCGGGTGCACGAGCCTTCCGAGCGCCCGGAGAGCCCAAGCGGGCCGCCGGCACGCGGGCCGCCGGCACGCGGGCGGCTGTGAGCTGCGAGCAAGGCAGAGAGCGCAGGAGAACGAACACATGGGCGCCTGGGGACGTGCGAGCGGGAGCGCTGGCACGGAGCTCGGCGTGCGGGCGCTGGCACGAGCGCCGCGCGTGTGTGCAGCAGGGGAGCCGGAGCGGCAGCGTGCGGCGCACGGCGCTGCAGGAAGGCGCCGCCGTGCAGGGGGCTGCTGCAGAGACCCCCCCGGAGGTGCCGTGCAAGCGTGCAGCTGCAGCCCAGCTCCGCTCGCCCTACGTGAGAGGGCGTGCGCGGGTTTTGTCAAGAGGATGTGACTCCTTCTTGAACTCACCTGTTAGCCGCCCTCGCCTCRCCGTCCCCCCGCCCCCAGCAAAATAGCTGCTTGCTTAATTTCCCTTCAGATGTTTATTGCTTTGCGGAGATTATCGCGCGGCAAAATAACTCGCAGCGCCACAAGCAGCACTGGGTTGTCTTGCAGCAAGGTTTACGTTTCCCTGGCTTTTATTTTTATTTTTCCTGCTCACAAAGAGATGTAAGATATTAAACCCGTATCTCCACTCAGAGCAAGCGCTGCAGCAGGGCAGGGGAGAGCACATGTTGAGCTTAGAAAAACAGGCTCAAGACGGGGGCCAAAAAAATAACAAACTACTGCACCGGGAACTCCTCTCTTCTTATCTTTCGCTAGGGAGGAAGGAATTTATCTCCCCACACTTCATGTGATATTTAAGCAACATCATACGGGTTATTATAGCATTTGACATTTTTAATTAATCACTCATTTTAATTAAKACACTTTTATTTTATCAGCAGAGGCTCCGTACTCCCTTACTAGCTTCTTTTTTTTTGCCTTGATACCCAGCCAGGAGGAGGATGGCAAATTATGCTCCACCCATCTCTGCTCCTTTAAAAAAGGAACAGCCCAAAGTGCCAGTTTAGTCTCTCTCTCAGCTCGCAGGCTAAAATAAAGACCCATCAGCTCTCTCTCCTCCCATTAATTTTTACCTTTTTTTTTTTTCCTTCTTTTTTTTTCCTTCTTGTTGCAACAGAGCACGGGAGGCGGCGGCAGCAGCAGCAGCAGCAGCAGCAGCAGCTCAGCCCTGAGACTTGTCAAGACTCAGCGCACACACACACACATCCACAGAGCGGCCAGAGCAAAGACGTTTGCTCTCACCTGTCTCCAAAAACCAAAGCCAGCCTCACATGAGAGCAGACTGCCAACGTTTTGCAAGAAAAGGCACCAAAGCCACAATTTAATGTAAGGGGAAGATATTCCATTTACAGTACCAACTTTTTTTTTTTCTTCGTAGAATAAAAAGCAAGAAAAAAGACTTGAGGAAGAAAAAGAGCATTTTACAAAGGAAACATTAAGGGAAAAGATTTTATTTTTGGATTTCGTACAAAACTTTGGAAGCTTTTTTTCTTTTTTTTWAATTTTGTGCATTTTTGCTTCCTAAGAACACTGAGTCGCAAGTCCCTGTTTGCGAACGATTGCGTTTGAAAGAAGAGAACCTGGCAGAGCGGTAGCATGTGGACCACCTGACACAGGAGCTACCGACACCCTTCTCGCGGCGAGAGGCGCACGGACCCTGGATGCACCTAATTCTGGCGCGCCGCACTCCTCCGCCCTGACCGTTCCCCCCGGCATTCCCGCTGGCTTTTGACACTGCGGAGACACGGACCAGCCCCCCGGCCCCGCTTCCCCGCCCGGCTCCTTGCCCACGGGCAGCTGTGCCCGCCGCGGCGCCCGCAGCGGGTCATGGGCGCGCGCCCAGCCCTGGGTGCCTGAGGCCGGGCTCCGGAGAGCGAGGCGCYCCGCTGCCGCCGCTCGCCGTCCATGTGCCTGCGGCCGCCGCGCCTCGACRTCGCCATGGATCTCGGCGTGCTCTTCGCCCTCATCCTCTACCTGCCCCTGGCCCGCCTTGAGGTGAGCGGGGGGACGCGGGCAAAGGTGCCTCGCGGCTCCGGAGGGAAGGGGAGGGAAAGGGAGAGGAGGAAGGGGCTCTCCTGCAGCCCCACGGTGGCCACGAGGGAGCCGAACRGGGCTGCACGTTGGCGACGGCCGGACCCGGGGACACCCTCGTGGCCACTGGCACTGCTCTCTCACCAGCCCTCCGCCCCGGGGCAGGTGCCACCCACCGGGATCCCCTCTGGATAGGAGGGCTTCATGCGCCCCAGGGCGCCGGGGCTTGCCCTTGGGTGCCCAGGCAATGGCTGGGACCCGGGGCCGSAGCTGCAGGCACTGGGAGCTGGGGGCGGAGGCGGCCGCTGTCGCTGCAGCCCTCGGGCACGGTTGAGAAAAGGAGAAGGAGGGAGGGAGGGCGGCTTGTTTTTTATTGCTGCGATACATATGTAAAGAGAGCAGGAACCTCCCCCGGGGGATACAAAGGCTGTGTCTCCAGGCGGCAGAAAACAACTGTTGCAATATATATATATATATATATATATATATATATATATATATATATATTTCCCCGTCTTCACCATAGAAAGCATACATACGGCTCTAAATACAAATATATAGCCCCCAGGCTGGAGTGAGGCGCAAGGGGAGGGGACACCTGGCTGGAGCCGCCCTGGCTTGCGGCATGGAGGAGGGTGCTGGCCCTCCTTGCCAAGCCCGGGGAGCRCATGGAGCCCCTCAGTGATCCTCGCAGCTCGACGCGGTCCCCAGAGGCACCGCGTCAAGCGCCGGCCCCGCGGAGCCGCCCGCCCGCTCCCGCCTCGCCCGGGCGCGCGCCGCGTGTCCCGYGCGCAGCACCGCCTCGCAGCTCGGCGCCGCCGCGGCCGCGCTGCCGCCTCACGAGTCCCGAGTCGAGTGTGCACGAATGGTGTGCTGCCCGAGGCGGGGAGGCTTGGCACGGGCCCGGGACACCAGCATGTGGGTTCTTCGGCGGGGTGTGCTTGTAGCTGGGGCCGCAGAAAGAGGCTGGAGATGGTTATCTGTGCCGCGCTTACACAGAGTCACGCAAACGTGTCATGCTGCCCCCCCTGCACCCCTCCCACACATGCTGCTGAGGAGGAAGCAGGGCACAGGATGGGGGTCAGGTGCTACATTTGACTAATAAATGTAGAGCAGCCCTCGGCTTCGCCACGGGGAAAGCAAAGCCTCTTTTCCATCCACAGGCTGGAGCTGGTTTTCCTGCTGTTCCCCTCCCCCAGAATAGTGGGCTAGGAAAAGGCGCTCTGGGTCCCCAGATCCTTCGGCCTCTGCTGTCATATTTCATCATTTGACTCCATGCAAATTGGAGGGGATCAGGAAGCTCCTAGCATCCACCCACAAAGCTCCCATTCCCACTTCAATTCTACCCAATGTGACAAAACCATGGGCTAAACCTCCAGCTTGGGGGTTGTTGGAGGCAGGAGATACCCTTCCACCAACAGCCCCCTCACTTTGCATCATTCCTCTCTCTTGCTTCCTTATTTTTAGGCAATCCCTCTTGTGGACGTCAGGGAAGGGGATGGGTACAAAGCATCCCATCACCTCCCTATGGGTCCATTTTGCCCTTGCCCAAGCCACAGAAGGAAGCAGTTGGAGCTGTGGGCTCCTCCGGGGCGGTGTTTGTTTTAGGCAGAACATGGTTATTTCTTCTGTAGGTGACTTGGATCTCCCTCTCCCATGCAAGATGAAACACTAGGACAGGCTGAAGGTGCAAGTGTTTAATCCCAGGGGCTGATATTCCTCGCCATAACCACGTGAAAACACTGCACAGCTTTATCACTGTCTAGCGGGCTTAGAGTTTGGGAATTCTGGCTCCGGCCCCAGGTTCCTGGAGGAATGGTGACATTTATCATTTTATGACCAGAGAGCCAAGAAAGTTTCTGCTTGAGTAGATGCTCCTGCCTGCAGCCAGTCCCCAAATCTACCTCGAGGGCAGGGCTTCCACCTCTGCAGCAAACGTGTACAGTGCCACACTTACCAGCTCCCTAATAATAAGGAGCATAATAATAAAGCATCCGCTGCACAGGGCTTGCATCTCCTCCGACCTGCTGGAGAGTGCCCCCTGAACATGAGCTGCTGCCTCATCAGCAGAGATCGGAGTGTGAGATGGAGGCTTCTCAGTCCCTTCGATCACACCCATGCGGAGCTGGAGGGCCCTGGAGCTCTTCCAGCGGGCGGGACCGGGACGTGCATGGCGCGGGGCAGGTATTTGCCAGCTGGGAAGCAGGGATGCTAGCTGGTTTGCATTTCACCTGAGGGCTCTAATAGTTGCCTTGCAACATTTACAGAGATGGGCTGAGCCAGGCGTGGTTTTGCTTGGGTAAGATCCTATTGGCAGGGGTTTTTGGAATTCCCAAGGAATGGGGTGCGGCTGGGTGCTAGCTTATAACCTTGGCCCGGCTCCGGTTTGCCTCTTCCTGGTAGAAGGCCCCAGGACTCTTCCTAAATCCTCCTAGCTTGAGGTTGGGACATGAATAAAAGCAAAATGGAAGCCAGGACAGCTGTTACAGGATGGGTGACATGTCTGGCGTGAGCTCATGGAAGGAGCAGGGCAACTTGTGCGTKCCTATCTCTCACTATCAGCTGGTGTGAAGCAGCAGGAGAGAATGACAGTGGTTCCTGTGCCATTTCCAAGAAGCCCAGGGGAAAATACCTCTAACTTTTGCGGGGGAGCTGCGTGGGGGTGTGTTGTGGAGCAGGGCGGAGCAGTGAAGTTCCCCCTTGAAATGGGAAAAGGGTGAGTAGAAACCCTGGCGAGATGCAACAGAAGTTTGATGGCTTTAGGGAAGCAAAATGTGAGCCCTTGTCCCATGTCCCCTGCAGAAGGGACCCTCCTGGGGAGGGTTTTCTCTCGTGAGGGCAGAGGCAGGTATGTGACTCCGGCAGGTGGATATCAGCGTCTATGCTGGAAGGGCTAACACGCTGTGCCAAGGGTGCAAGTGTTTCTGGGGTGAATTTGGACAGCACTGGGTTCTGCCGTTTTGTTCTCTGCCAGGGAATGCTGTGGAGACTCCCTTCAGGATCCTCACGTGAGCTTGAGAGGGAGAAAGAAAATATTTTGATTTCTTTTTTCTTTCTTTTTTTGCCAGCCTAATAACTTGTGAGCCTGCTGCTCAGATTCCCTCAGTGAGTCTCAAGAAAGTCCCCCTTTCCTGAGCAGAGAAGCAGATGGGTTGGTGCTCCCCTGCCTTAGACCAGACGGGCTACCCTGTGACTCTTTGAGTGCAATGGCACATGCCATCCCAGGAAAGAGGATGGGAGAAGTCCTCACTTTTGGAATGTCCTTGGTGGATTTCTTCAGCCCGCAGGGTCTCCCATTCCTCCCACTTTCAGCCTTTGCTCCATCCTCCTCTTTACCTGTTGTGCTACCAAGTGCAACGCGCGCTCTAGTAAACTCTGTAGTCTTTGGAATATGAGTAACTGGAAGGAGGACAGGAGAGTGGCCCAGCGTATTCCCCATGCCACTCTGGCAAAGGCTGATCTCCAGGGGAACTTCTAGCATCCCATAGGGACGTGGAGAATCAGGCCTTGGGAAGGAAGCCAAGACCTTCCCAAGACCAAGTATGGCCATTCCTAGGATGTACCCAACGCCAGGGCAGGCAMGTGGCCTCTGCAGCCTTCCTGCCTCCCTTCCTACCTGCAGACAGCCAGAGTGCCCGCCTCAGCGCCGAGCTTTGCACCGTCCCTTCGTGGTGCTCAACGCTACACCTCGGTGGGAGGCTCCGGGCGCAAATGGGAAGTGGGGTTTGGGATGGGGCTGATGCTGACCGCAGCATGTGTGCATGCGTGCAGAGGGGCAGTGGAAGGATGTGACTTCTTGGGACATCACCGGGCTGCGTGGCAGCTGCCGTGTCACGTGCCCTGWTTTGCGCTGAGGGCCGGGAGGACGGAGGAGAAGCGGGAGGAGGCCCCGCTGGCAGCACGGAGCGGCCGCGGGCAGGCAGGGCCTGAGCCTCCAGCCATCAGCAGGAGCGGAGAGGAGGAACCTGCCCCGGCCTGGCAGGCAGAGTGGGAGCCAGGCCCCGCCGAGCGGGAGCGAAGAACAAACTCGCTTTCTTCTAGGAATTCGGTGGCCTTGCAGCAAGAGGAGGCCAGGCCTCGGGGCACTTGACAGCCAGCCAGGAGTCCATTGAGACAAAAGTCGCCTTTGATCCGCCGCGTGCGCGCGCGGTTAAAAGGGAGGCTGTTAACCTGTGCTAGACAAACAGCTCCYTAAGAGCTGCCGAGCAGGAAGAGCGCCAGCCGCCCGGCTTGCTCCGCCGGGGACCCCGCTGTCTCCTCCATTCTGCTCTACCTYCCGACCCTGCAGCACCGGGGGGAGGCGGGTCGGGGGTCTTGGCTTTCTGGGCCCCTTCCAGCCACGTCGCTCACATATCCTGCTCCCGGGGCACGCTCGGGCACAGACCTGCAGCTGCAGGGCAAAGCGCGGACCTCCATGGGCTTGCGGTTGTCCCTGGCAGAGCTGCCTCTCAAACCCTGGGTAGGAAGCTAGGATTGTGAGCTACGTGGGCCGGTGATACGCCATAGCCAGGCTGGTAGTATCTGCGGCAGGGAGAAAATGGCACCTAACACTCCTGCTTTGAGCAGGGAGCGGAGCTTGTTCCTGCAGCCAGTCCCCAGTGCGGCAGCAACTCAGGGCGTGCGTTTGCAGTCCCTGATTCCTATCGGTTCCCCCTTCTCCCTTGGCAAGGTGACACCTCCCAGCCTGCCTCCAAAGTCACCGTAACACCTGCCCACTCTCTCCCTTCCCCAAGTGCCAGAGTTTAAAATAAAGCTCCATTTCCTACACATATTAAGTGTCAGGAAGGAGCAGGGGCATCTGTGCAGAGCCGTGCTCGCACATGGATGCACTTGGCTGACAGGTGCAAACATTAAAAAGCCTTCAGTTCGGCGCCCGCTGCGGAGCTGTGGCTGCAAGCACTTGGAATTGCAAATGCCCCCTCTTCCCGAAGCTGCCGTGAGTGGCACGAGGCAGGGAAGTGCYGCAGAGGCTCCCAGCACTGGGCTGCTGGTCCTGCTCCAGCTCCCGGTGGAGAAGTCATCAGAAGGCGTCTTCATTTCGCAGCTCTTCAGTGGTCTCTTAATTATGTGAGCCTATTTCTCCCTGTTCCTCCGTCAGTGAAGCTGGTTCCCTGCTGGCAGCCTCACAGGCTGAGCAAGTAATGGCTGGGGATCTAAAATCTGCTCTTGTTCGTGTCTGCGGTGAGATGCTACAGCAACAGGGACGTGGAGCGAAGTGGGTTGGGCACAGGATACCTTGCGCTGCCTCTCCTTGTTAAGCAGGGCCTGAGGGCAAGGTCCCTGGGCAGTTGGGCTGTGGAGTATTAGGGCATTAATTTTATCTGCTCTGCATTTACCCCGGGAGGTTTTCTGCCCCATAACATGGGCTGCAGAAGCCTCCAGCCAGCAATTCCCAGGTAAAGTTGTTGCTTGGGAGGGTGCACTGAGGAGGAGGCACCTCTCCTCTTTTCGCCTTCGTAGAGGTGAAGGGTAACCAAGGGATGGCGAGAAGGTCCTGGCACCCAGCACCCATACAAAAGTTGCTGCAAATTTGGGGCTAAAGCACTCAGGGTTTGAAGGCCACCTACCTGCAGTTTTTCTCCTCTGCTGAAGGGAAATATTCTGCCCTGAACACGCGCAGGAAACRAAGAGCTCTAAAGGAGAGGGACCACACACGTGCCACCAACTGCCCATAACTCCCCCCATGCAAATCCCTACATTTCCTAAACGCACAAGGGAAATTCTCCTCTCGGTTACGGGGCACGGGGTAGGGCTGCAGCTCAGATGGCATCCAGCACCCAGCTGAAAGAGCAGCTTTTCCACATGAGCAGCCCTGAATGAAGACAGCGAGGAGCTACTCAAACACGGCCAGCGCTTYCTTCCAGCTCTTCTCATCTTTCAGAAGCGTGTTTTACCCAGGGCTGGGTTTCCCGCATTCCTCCTTTGGAGTCTCCCTGCGTGCTGTCACTGGGACCAGCGCAGTGTTGCTATCAGGGTGAAATTACCTGGAGAGTGATAGCGTTGCACCTGCCCACGCACACCCTGAGTCTGACCCGTCATTCAGCGCTTTTAAACCTGGTTGCTYAAGGAGTTTTCTTGGCACTGACTTCCAGTGATATCCAAACTCCATTTTTTTTCCCCATCCACAGCAGCAACTCATCCTAGTGCCCCAGACACCCTTTCCCACGTTCTCTGCAGCATTTGTGACAGGCTCGTGCTGAAGCAGCAGACTCGGCTGCAAAGGTCAATCTTCCTTTTCCCCCTTGTTTTTAAATTTTTAATAGGAAAAAACAGTATGCAAATGATGCATATTATTGGGCGGCTGTGGTTTGAAAGCACACGCGCACGCACACGGTATCTGACAAAGCCCGCGAGGGAGTTTCGTAACAGAGGGAAATATTAGGAAGGTTTTATCTGATAGTGGAAGGGAAGTCTGCTAAAATGCCTGTACTGCCGGCAGCAGGAATGAGGGGCCACCTGGAGAAGTCATACAGCAGCRCAGAAGGAAACCTCGCTGTCTGTTTGTGTAGGGCCCAGGGCTGCAGGGTGTAGCCCTGGAACTGGTGCCTTTTCTTGCCTTTTCAGGCTGCCTGTCGCTCTGGGAGAGGGAGYGGGCGGCCTCCCTCGGGTTTGTCCAGGTTTCTGGCTTGTGCTTGCACAAGGGCACGTCTCTCCGGTGTCGCAGCGGTTCTGGCACACTTGCCCCCCTGCTGCCTCCGTCCCCCTGCCCTGCTCCAGGACGCGGGGTCTGCACATCGCCCCTCTAACGCTTGTTTTGTTCTTCTGTTTTGTCATCTGGCAGGGGGACCCCATACCTGAAGACATTTATGAGATTCTGGGCAGCAGCTCGGTGCGCTCCATCAGCGACCTCCAGCGTGCCCTGCAGATAGACTCCGTAGGTAAATCTCCTCTTCACCAAACACTCCTTTTTTTTTTTTTTTTTTTTTTTTTTTCTCTTGACTCTTTTAGGAGTTGGAAGGTTTATTCCATCCCTCAGTAGATGCACTGCCCGCAGGCCCCACTGTAAATAACAGGAACCGTTCAGGTGCCAACACATGAGTATTTACACACGTAGCCTGCCCGAACATATGGGAGTTAGGCAGCTAAATTCCCTTTTGCACTCGCCTTGCCTGGTCTGCGGAGGGATGCTGGCTCACAAAAGCAGTAAGAGCTGGGCAAGGTGAGTCCTTGCAAATGGGACCAGTGGTTTTCACCGGGGAGATGCTCAAGCAGCTGGGCTTGAGTTGGCCAAGGATGAGGTGGGAGGTGGAAAAATGGGGGCTGGAAGCAGAGGAGAAAAGGACCGAGCGAGTTCTCTGGTTCAGCATGCAGGAAAGACGCCGGCTTCCCGGAGGCTCCAGCCCCGGAGCAGCGGAGCAGGCAGCAGCGCTTGCCCTGCTGCGCGGAGAGGAGCTCCGGGGGCTGCAGCGCCCCAGGGCTGCGCACAGGAGCAGCGGGAGCAGCGGGAGCAGCGGGAACGCCGAAGCGTCGAGGGGTCGGCACGTGTGGGAACCGGAGCACGCGCCGCGGCGGCCGGGCTGGCCCAGGAATTTATTTATAAACGCTCTCTTCAGAGCGAATTCCATTCTATTCTAACTGCGCTCCCGCCCGTCGTCCGCCGGCCCCCCCAGCTCGCCTTCTCTCTTGTGTTTTGTCTGTTTGGAGCTTTGTAATCCTTGCCGAGACACTATCTACGGGGGAACAGAATTTCCTGCTTTTGTTTCCTATGCCAGTCCAACCACTGGCGCGGTCTCAAAAGCATTCCCGCTGCCTTTCAAAACGGCCCTGGAGGGGCAGGGGGGGGACGCGAGGGGGAGGGCACCAGCTGTGTTCAGCTATTGTTTGCCTCAGAAAGAGGCGAYGACGGGCTCCCCACCACCACCACGGCCGCTCCCTGCCCTCCCCAGCACCCTCCTCCTTGTCCACGAGCCGCACAATGGGGCACCTTCCAAAATTAGACGCTCCGGCTTGTCCCGCGCTGCTCCCCCCGCTCCCAGACCCGCTTTGGCCACAGCTGCAGCACTGACCTGGGCTGCAGGACAGCCTGGGGAGGGAGGGATGCGGCTTTCAATAGGAGAGCTGTTTCTAGTCAACCGTTGTTGCTATTTTTCTGCTCTTCTCCATGATTTAGGCTTTGCAGCCACYACCCTCGCGTGATAAAACTCCAGACGACACAGGATGGAGGGGTGGGGAAGGAGATGTGTACAGTCTGTCTTGTCCCAGTGTCTAAGGGACAGATACATCTCTGTCCCCCTTACTGACCATCCTCATGCTTAAATAAAGAGGGCTCCTCTTGCTGGCCACTGGTTTCACTTCAGGTCTTTGGGAAGGCTGGTCAGGGAAACAGAGGCAAATGCTTTAATGCTTTGAAACCTTTTTTTTTTTTTTTTTTTTTTTTTTTCCATATGTGCTCTTCGGGCTTCAGCTGGTGACTGAGGGGCATCACCATTTATCTGCCCTGTGCAGAATTAGTGCATTAGCAAATGCAGGTATTAGCAAAAACTAGCCCCAGAGCAGCCAGGTCTATTCCCTGCACCATGCTCTGGGTAGGGCTGGTGTGCTGTCTCTCATTGAGTGCATAGGAAGCCAAAATTAGGCAGCCCCAGAAGGTAGATGAGCTGAGGCACTGCACTCCTGATCTTAGACACGCTCCTAAACCCAGCTCCTAGATCTAGGCATGGAGAGTAGGCATCACCGCCCACAACTGTGGATACCTGCCAAGCAGACGTGCCCATCCAAGCCAGTCATGCAGCCRTGCTCTGTAGCCCAAGGAGAACCACAGGCCCTTCCAGAGCACCTTGCCCCGTTTTGAGTGTCCACCTCAGGGTGGGGTGAAGGCTGTCCTAGAATTAACAGCATCTCTCCAGCCACTTTCAAGTGCGTCTGTCCATCTCACAGGGGTGTTGACTGCATAGGCAGCTGATTCGTGCCTCGTGCATGCAGCCTCTGTGCACATGTCTCAAATCCTCCATTGGTGGCCTGAGATGAGCAGCAAGCTGAGTCCCTGCTTCCCCTTATGCGAAGGCTTCACTGAGCAGGGACTGAGGAAGAGGGATGGGACACGATACGTATGGGAACTTGCTCCAGCACATCTCGGATAAACAGAGATCTTCCACTGTCCCCAAATTCCCCTAAAGAAAATTGTTCTGCCGATGCTGACGTCCACGCTGCTTCCTTCAGCTACTAAAGCAGGCCAGAGAAGGAAGGAGCTTGGGCTGGGTGGGAGCTACCCCTGAGCGTGGCCATTGTCCGGAGCTCCGGAGGGGCTGCGTGCTGGAGTGCTCCGTGGGGATTATGGGCATTTCTCCATTCAGCGCTTCCTATGGGAAAAAGCAGTGGAGTGGGAGGGAACTCTCAGAGCTCGGCTAAATGCTCTGTCTTCCTCTGCCGACTGAGCTACCTCCCGATCCTGCAGTTACCTTGCAGTAGCAGGGAGGAGGAATCATTTTAGCTTATTCTCCTGTTCTTCTATCACAAAACCAGCTCTCACACAGAGCAGTCATCTGGGAGACAGAAACCAAGCCCTCCACCTGCCCCCCACTGCCACCCTTGTCCCTACCCTCCCACAGCTGAACTCCCCTGAGCCGTAGCTATCCAAGCAGGACACCTCGGTGCTCACATACAGAGCATCCTGCCTGTCCCACTTGGCCTTTGCATCACCTTTGTCATATCCTGAGGCAACTGAGCTGAACTTTCTCCTACTCCAGGCAGTCCTATCTAAAGCCGTGTCTTTTCTGACCTAGTTTTCCTCTGCTAGATCTGGTTAAGACTCCTCTTTCACAATAGGCATATTGGCTTGATTTGCTTGAAACTGCAAGCTTAGAGCCTCCGTGCCCCAGCATGGCTGTTATGCGGCTGTGAATTTACACCTAGCACCACATAACAGGGCATTACATATGAGTTTACCCTGGGTCTCTGCACTTGTCTTGGTCAGTGGAGCACAGGTGCCTGCTGCCTTCTCCCACCTACGCAGTGTTATCAGGTCATGTCCTTCCCTTTGCAGAGGAGGAAACCTCGAGCGTGGAGCTGAATGCAACCCAGCCCGGTCAAAACCCTGCGGCGCTGTCTCGAGGGAGACGAAGCATAGGTGAGTCTGGCAYGCTGCACCCCGGGGCTCTCGGGGCACTAACCTAGACAGCCGTGGGGGACGCAGGCGCAGCTCTGAAATGCGTGGGCTGGGGTGGAGGCTGACATGGGCATGGATGTGTAGACAGGTGGGAAGGAAAGTCTGGGCCTCGTGTCAGAGCTGGGTTTTACACTCCAGCAATATGGGAGAGGCAGTCCAGAGCTGAGCAAGTTTCAATCTCTTGGATGTTGACGTGTCCTAAAGAAGTGTCATCTCCTGCCTTGGGCTGCCCCTGCAGTGAGAAGCATCATTTGCTGGGGGCTCCCGCATAGGGCACCGTTCTGTTCCAAGGGGGAGCTGGATGTCTGGGAGCAGGGGAAGAGCACATGGATTTGTGTGGGAGAGCAGTGCAGGCTCTTTCTCTGCCAGAGGAAGGTCGGTAACAGCAGCGCAGCCCGTTTGAGCCTCCCTCCTTCTCTCGGCCCCCTGTAGATGCGCTGGCCGCAGCTGAGCCGGCCGTCCTCGCGGAGTGCAAGACGCGGGCGGTGGTCTTCGAAATCTCCCGCAAGATGGTGGACAGCACCAACGCCAACTTCGTGGTGTGGCCGCCCTGCGTGGAGGTGCAGCAGTGCTCYGGGTGCTGCAACAACCGCAACGTGCAGTGCCGCCCCACGCAGATCCGCGTCCGGCACGTCCAGGTAAGGGGCAGCCTTTGCACAGCAACCTGCTCGCGCTYTCAGCCCCCCAAGAGAAGCCCCTCGCATGTCTCACGTGCAGGGCTCCCTTGGCTGCCCTGTCCCTGCCACCTCTCCGCAGTCCCRTCCTGTGCATTGGCCACACGGAGCTGCGGTGACATCTGTGCCAGCTGCTCCCCAGGCTGGTGCTGTCCAGCAGCTGGGGACTGTCCCTGCAGCAGAGCTACTGGCACCGTCCCCAGCTGCAGCGYGGGCCCTCGCTGTGCCTCAGGGCACCCGTGTCTTCTGTGTCAGAACCGAAAAAGGAGAAAGCCCAGAACTTTCACCGCAAGAGCTGGGTGTGATGCGAGAAGAGGCGGGCCTGTAGTTCCAGTACTCCGTCCCCCAGGTGCTCCTTCCCAAGACACGCACTGAAGCAGCTTCTCCTCTTTCTCAGCCCTGACCCAGCGGGCTGCAGGCAGACAGCTAACCCCTTGCTCTGATCCTGTCTGCCTGTCAGCTAAGGGCGATCTTCTCACAGTTTCCTCCCAGACAGCTTGGGTAAAAATAATACTCATCCCCTACTAATCCTGTGCCTGAGCTGTAAGAGACTCCCCTAAGCAGAGGTTGGCCAGGAGAGGTTGCATTCAAACAGCCTGTTATATCAGGAAATTCCTTTCTCAGAAAAGCCAGGTTGAATGAGGGAAAAATGCTCTGGCAGGGGCGGACGAACAGGAGTTGTTTTTGTGGAAAAAGCAAATGAGAGGTCAAAAGCCAGCCAGAAAAAGTGACCTGGAAATGGTTTCTTTGAGGACAGAGGTCTCTCTATTGTTTGGCTGGAAGTGTTTGTCTAGCGAGCAGCGTGTGGTCTGAAGCGTGTGGAGTGGGCTTTCAAGGAAAGATAAACAACAGCAGCCGAGGGATGCTGCTAGGGGCAGCTGGGGTAGAGGAATTCAGTCCCGGACTCGCAGCAAAGCGAGTATTTATAGCTCCCAGAGCACTCCAGGGGCTGTGGTCTTACTAGATAAGCCAAGCAGGGTCGGGCCTGGCCACGCTGGGAGTGGGAGAATCCCCCTAGAAAGCTCGGGYCCTGTGGTGGGATGTGGAGCAGCGAGCTTCCCTCTGAGTCAGCACTGATGGAGAGTCCGAGGGAATTTCCAGAGCACCGCCTTTCCCATGAAACGCACAGCTGAGAGCTCCAGCCCCATGAGTTATTAAAGAGCTGGAGACAAATTCAGACAGGCCTCCGTGGAGCTGGTGAAGCTGCATTTGCTTACATCGGGCGCAAATTATTTTGTTTTTGCCCTTTCTCTAGGATCCTGTGGCAATTAATTCTGATTACCCCAGGTCTCTGCCATTGCAGCACATCCCATTCCACTCACGCCGTTTTTCTGTATGTGGTCAACCACTTGCCCTGCTCCGCGCCAAAAGCAGCTGCGGGTTAGAAATGGGGGAAAGAACCAGTCACATCCAAACTTGCCTGGTTTAGGGCTGCTCTGCTCGTGTGTGCAGAAGTTGCTGCAGTGCTCAGCACCTCTGAATTTGAACCATGCTCTAGAAACTGCCTTCTGACCCTTTAGGAAGAAAGCCAGAGGCACAGGGAGACGGATTGCTTTTACAGAGTGGGAGCTACAGCTGTACTCATCTCTTGGATGCTTCTCTTTCTCCCAAATAGGTGAACAAGATCGAATTCGTGCAGAGGAAGCCAGTATTTAAAAAAGTTGTCGTGCCTTTGGAGGATCATGTGCAGTGTCGGTGCGAAGCAGTGGCCCATCAGCCCCCGAGGAACATCAGGCCAGGACAGCGTAAACAGAGACGTAAGGATCTTTGCATTGGTAGGGTGGAGAGGCATGAGAAGAGAGGCTATGAAGGAAGGAATTAACTCCCCGCTGGTTTAAATCTGCTTAGCTCCAGTGAATCCCATGGGCCTTTTCTGATTTATACCASCCCTAGGAACCTTTCCCAGGATGTCAGCCATCCAGCAAGAGGCTGAAACCAAGGGAAATGAAGGAGGAGAAAGTGAGAGGTGGGATGAAGGACAGCAAGGGAAAAAGGAGAGGGTGGAGACCGGGTAGAGCAGCGGGTGCCGTGAAGAAGACGAGGGCCTTGGGGTGCTCCCCTTGCTGGCAGCGGGTGGCGAGCGGTGTTTCAGCTCGGCCTGGCTGCCCCTGGCCCTCAGCGGCGCTGCCCTCTCTGTCGCAGGCCTGCCCCCGTCCTTCACCACGGCCGCCGCGGCGCAGAGGCACCGAGCGCGCCGGCTGCCAGCGCAGAAGAGGAAACACAAGAAGTACAAGCATGTCAACGACAAGAAAGTGCTGAAAGAAATCCTCGTCGCATAGAAGTGCCGGCAGGGGAGAGAGAGCCCAAGGCAGGTAAGAGGAAGCTGCTTTTCCAGCCAAGAGAGAGGTCCTCCTCCTGGGACACGGGGCTGCCTGGACACCTCAGGCATTTCCCACAGCACTGGCTGCCCCTTCAGCATGGGATTGCCACAGGACCTGAGCGTGATACAGGCAGAGTCAAAGGAGGGGGCGAGATTAGGCTGACACCTACACGTGTGTCCTGTTTGTGGCTCTTGGTAGAGGTGGAAGGAGCATGCTGCAACCCTACTTCGCCCTTCAGCCCTGCCTTCCCTTTTCTCTGCATCTCTTGAAGCCAGACAGCGAGCCTGACCTCTCTCTACACCTAAATCCCCCCAGGGTCTGTGTTTTTCATCTCCTTTGTGGAGCAGCTCCTGTTCTCCTTTCTCTGTTGATTCTCCGTTGAAAGCAGAGAATTAATGTTGCTCTGGGGATCCCTTTTCCTTTTATTTCATTACTTGAGTTGGCAAAAAGACTCAGAAGCAGCAGCACTTTTGGTTCATCTCTCTCCTAGCAGGAAGTCTGTGTGCATAAGAAAGGTCATACAAGGGGAAAGGAGAACTGGAATCTCTGGCTATAGATCTGGATTTTGTCAGTCCAGGGTCTGATTCTTCTCTCCCTGGCTTGTGTAAACAGGAGCAATTCCATCGTCATCAGAAAAATTTTACTGGTACGAGCAAAAGGAGAATCGAGCCCTGGTTCCTTTGGGAGACGTACATAAAGCACAGAGTAGCCTGGGCTTGCAGCTGGGGGCTGAGTTTAGAAAGAGGCAGGACGGGCTAATAGTGAGAGCCCTGGCTCATGATTCAGCAGTCCCTGCTCTGCCACAGGCTCTCGAATGAGCCCGGCCAGTGGCTTCCCTTCCCCTCGCCTCACAAGAGGGACAAGAGGAACTTCCACCACGTTGCGTTTCAGGAGCTGTGGATGAGGGGCACCCGATAATATCTTGGGAGTTTTATTCCCATGCATAACCCTACAAGGGCTCTGATTATCCYGGGATGCCTCTGGCCAGCCCAAGGTTCCCAGGGTATAAATGATGCAAAACTATGTGGATCTCAGCTTGGGCTCAGGCTGCCCAGGAGAAAAGAAATTAGAGGTCAGAAGCCCTCCTGGGCTTTTAATCTGGCACTTCCACACAAACATCTCCAACGGAGAAAAATAGGGAGGAAGGGAATTGTGGAGGAGGAGGGACATAYATGCTAATGCTGTGTGTGGCTTTGTTTCTCTTCCAGGTTTATTTAATGTATTTGCTGTATTGCCCCCATGGGGTCCTTGGAGTGACAACTTTTCCTCTTTGTCTGTCTGCCTCGACGTCTGATTCAGACAGCAAATGGTGCTTCCCTTCCCACCAACGGACCTTCTCCCGCCAAAGTCTCTCCCTTCTCGCATTTATTAACATCGTTTTAAAGTTTTACAAAAACAAAACAAAACAAAAAAAGAAGCAACACATATATAAATATATATATAAAAGAACAAAATACGAATACAACCATGGACTCCATGAACCACAACCTGCAGTGAGGACAGGACGATGCCTTCCCTGCTCCAGAGGTCAGGATGGAAAAWGTGAAAGGAAAGTGGGCCAAATTTCTTCTGAGAGGAGGAAAATAAAACAGACAGAGGGAGGAAGGGGAATATTCCTCCTTTTCCTTGTGCTTCTGGTTAGGCTGGGGGGCTCAGCTGAGGTCAACACTTGCACTGGACCTACTTTTCCAAAACAGGCCTATCTCAGATTGCGAGCAGCAACCGATGAYGGAAAATGCACTAAGGACTTTTATCGCCCTACCTGGACAGAGCTCTATTTTTAACGTGCGTGTGTATATTTTATTTGAAAAAGAAAAACCAAAACCACTAGAATATACAACATCTCGGGGAACAGAAAAAAAAATAGAGAAAAACAAAGAAGCCAAATGCATTCCCCCCACCTTTTTTCCCTCCTGCTCCTGGTGCTGACTGGAAGGCGCTTGGATTTTGGGGAAGGAGCAGAAGGCTGGTGGCAAAACCATCTCCACAGCCCTGGCCCCTGACAAGGGGAGCCGTCTTTGCACATGCTGGTGGAGAACTCAGCTTTCCAGGCTCGGACTCGGATTATTTTTTAAATTTGCTCTGTATGTGTGTGCAGGTATATGTGTGTGTGTGTGCGTGTGTTTGTGTGTGTGTATATACACACGTGTGTGTGTGCGTGTGTGTGTGTGTGTATTTATACATGCATATATATAGATATATATATATATAGAAATATATATATATGTTTGGAAATGGATTTCATTCCCCAGTGGCAGGACCCTCGGTGGCACGGCCCACGTCGGCGTGGGTGGGCCAGAAGAAAAGCACACGTTTCTGCAATATAACTCAGTGCCTGGCGGGGCCGAGACGGGACGCGCAGGGGCACGGGCTGAACCCCTCTGTCTTGGTGCCCTTTCCTCTCACTCTCCACCAACCCCCCGTCGCAGCTTCCTTGTAGGAGGCCAAGCGGCAGCGCGGCGACACCAGCRAGAGCCAAACTTAGAAGCATGACTTAATCTCAGAGAGCTGTCCTTGCCTGCTCCGGGGGCCCGAAAGCAGAATAATGTCATTCTCCCCAGCTCTTTAACTCCTTCGTGGACATCCTGAGGCCCTCCTCGCTGTCTCCCTGCCATGTTCCTGGCTCTGCCGTCTTTTCCCTCGCTTTGTCACTCTCCGATTCCCTCGTGCTCCTTGGTTTCACCTCTTAGATTCTCCAAGCYCCCTGAGCTTGGAAGTTGGTCCAAAACACGGGCAGGTGCCTGTAAGCAGAGAGCAAGTGGTGGGGATGATTCTGGCAGTTCACAACGTGGGGCTGAGGCAGAAAGGAGCCCTCGGAGGAACAACCGGGTCACGGAGTCCCTCCCGGGCCCCTGCAAAATCCCTCTGGAGAGGACGCCCTTCCAGGCAGCAGGGCCATCCCTGCACGAGCAGTAGCCAGTTCCCATTAGTGGAAATGTTATTTGTGACCCGGGAGCACATTTTCAGTGCCGCCTCGGAGTCCCAGGCCRAGGCGCTGCCACGCTGGGCCCTGCAGAGTTAGTTGCTCCGGGAGAAGCTCCCTGCCCTGGCACAGAGCTGCGGATCCCGCCTGCTGCTCCTGCCTCCCACCGCTTCTCCCATGTGGAGAAAAGCGCCAGGAGGAGCTGGGGGAAGGAGGTGAAGCTCGTACGAGTGGCCRTGGATTCAGCCCTCGCCTCCTGCAAGCCTAGAGCACTTCTGATCATCACTGCACCTTGCTCCCTTCCTCCTGCTCTAAGCCYTCAAGTCTTAAGACACTTTGTTTTCCTGTTCCAAAATCTGTGTCTTCAGTTTGTAAAGATGGTGAGGTTTTATTTTATTTTAATTTTTTGGCCTTTTTTTTAAACGTAAGGTTAATTTATACTCAGTACTGTATTTAAAGTTGTAAAAAAAAAAAAAAAAAAGGAAAAAAAAGTCTCTCGACCACATTTTCTCTTTCTTTTGTGAGCTGGCTGAACCACAGAAGCACAAACAGCTCTCCGTGAGCCAGGCAGGGACTCGCAGGACTTTTTATTTCTAGGACACTTTAATTTCTAGGACACTTGAGCTGTGAGCTCGCCAGTGCATGCGACACGCACCCAGCTAGGGCAGGGCCAGCGCGGCCCCGCTCTCTCCTCCAACATGTTTCCCACTCCACAATCTGCTTTGGAATGACTCAGGCTGCGGGGATTTCATTATCGGAGAGGTGCCTCTTCGTAGCTGCCAGGTTCAGAGGCCCGGCCCGACTTTCCCTGCGCTCTATTTGATCTCCGGATTCCCTTGCTTTAAAGCACTTAGAACAAATCACAGTGTTTACACTCTTCAAAGCCGTGTAAACAGTTTGCCTATTCCCTCCTTAGTCATATCGTCTAGACAACATCAGTCCTTTCCTCTTTCAGATCCCGACGGCCCTTGTGTTTCCCTTTCTCCGGGGCAGGGGAAGTGTTGCGGGCGCGAGGCAGCTGCCTCCTGCCACGGGCAGCAAACGGAACCGCAGGAAAAGCAGCCCGGAGCTTTGCAGCAGCACGTGAGCAACCGCGGGAGCCTCYGCTCCGGCCAGCAAAGCCTCTGCCCAGGCCTCCGTTTCCAGGATTTATGGAGCACATATAGCAGCCCAAGAGCACAACTCAGCTCTGGGGAACAGGCCCAAGTGGGTGCTCGTGCTGCAATGGCAAATCCGGGGGGCTGGCTATCCGGATTTTCTCCAGGCTGTCTTGGACGTACAAGCCTGGGACTCCAAGGGGTGCATCTCCCCACAGCATCCATTGCTTTGGGGTTAAGGGGCTGCCCCTGCTTGGGTGAGGGGAGCTGGAGAGGGGCTGACCCCTTCCTGCTGCCTCCGGAGCACACGAGAGGGAAAACATTCGCAAAATCGCAGAGCGGGTAATAGCCAAATCCTTGCTATAGTTTCCTTGGCGTAGAAATTGTTAGGGTGAACAAAGATTTTTCAGCAGGAGATGTCGGTGCTTTTAAGGGCCCATCACCGGGGAGCTTTGGGGGAGCGCGGGGTGCACATGAGGCGCACGAGGCAGGAGGGGCTGGCACATGTGGCTCCCTTTGCTCCTGCCRGGGAGCTGGAGGAAAAGCTGGCACCGCAGCGGCTGCCTGGATCCCCCTCTGCCCTCGGCGAGCGCGCGGCCCCGCGGGGCACGTACAAACCCGTGTGAACCCTGCGAACGCCCGGGTCCGCCGCAGCTCTAAATGAGGAGGTGTTGAAAGGAACCGCGGGGCCAACACCTGAGCTCGGGCCGCGCCGGGGCCTCGCATGCACAGCTGCTCCCCGCCGACTTCGGCAGGGCTGGGCTGCAACATCTTGGCACGGATTCAGCACAGGCCGGGACAGCGCGCAGGAAGACGGGACCCCTTAGCACKTCTAGAGGCTCCAGCAGGTGTTTTAAATCCACCCCGCAAAGTCAGRCTTGGCAATGGGACATAAAACCCTGCGCCTCAGGTGTGTGCAAAGGGAGAAGCCCCCGGAGACGTGGAGCGCACGGGGAGTTTTGCTCTGCACA